ATTTCCATTTTATCATTTTATACACATTATATAATTTATTTGCGTCATTATTCAGCCTGGGTCCTTGATAGCAGAAGAATCTTTGTATAAATGAGGTCTTAAACTGTTTTGTTTGGCATACTGAGTAATGCCTTCTTTTGTCTGCATTAGCATGTTCAGGGTTGTATGGCATTTGTGCGTGTTGTTTCAACAATATGGCTAAGATGATCTGAGTGATCACATTCAGAAGCTAATTGAAGAAATTGATTTAGGCAGGCAGAAACCGTCACAGCTGCTGCGCCACAACAAAGTGACAAATGATACGTTAAGTGTGTTATGGCAGAATCAGACTTTCCAAAGTAAACCCTGACTGTATCCTTGAGTTCCGCTTCACTGAGATTGAAGACTTTCTTTTCTTCATTGGAAATGATGTCAGCGAGTAGGAGACTTTCAAAGAGGGCTGGTCTCCATCGTACTGGCCGGTGACCTCCACAGCGGTAAGTATCCGCTGACATAATTGTAATATTATTATAAAGATGTATTTATTGCATATATCTAGTGCGGTACGAGTGCCGTTAGATGGCATTAGTAGTATTCTGCCTCGCACTATCAAAATGTTCACACCATTAGTATTAAGCTGTTTTTTTTACATGATGAGGTATCTTTACAGCACAATACAGTCGCCGTTTTTTATCTAACCCTGGAGTTTGATTGCCTGCCTACAACCCTGAGGGTGCCAACTGGTACTGCGGTGTAACCAGACTTCAGAAAAAGGAGAAGATTCTCAATTCGCTACGCGCCTGCCATACATCTTTCGCTTCCATTGGTTTTATCGTGGTCTTATCTTACATGTCCCTTTATTGTTATTACTTTTGTCTTGATCTTTTCTAAGAATATTCCGAATTTAGTTGTGATGTGTAACCTGAGGTCGATGCTCCACGAAATAAATGCCGTCTTGCGCCATACAAATTTACTTATTTCATGCGCAAGGAAATTATATTTGAAATGGTGACTAAACATTGCTCATTATTAGGAAATTAAATTGTACCAAAAGAATGAGAACAAATATAGATCTTACAGCTCTTTGTAAATAAACAGTTGATCACATTGCAAAATATTATACGATATTAGCTTACAGCGATTATTTATTAAACCTTGACGTGGTCGTGCAAATCAGCTCTTAGAGCGATGCCACACGATGCACTGTATCGGGGTTGCGACGCCTGGGCGGTAACGCTGCGTTGTACTATATAATGTAGAACTATATGCACTATATCAGGGGTGCTGTGGTGCGTAAGTAAGCAGCCGCGGCGTTACCTTGCGACATCGCATTGCTCGTGTGGCACTCGTTGCGTTGGTGGTTGAAACACAAACAAGCGACGCAACGCACCAGCAACACTCGTGTGGCATCACTCTAATTCTATATCCCCTTTAGTATATGACGAAAACAACAAAATAAGTAAAAGAAATAATAATAATAAATATGCCTTGAAATGAATGTAGTATTTATTTCCATCTGTTTCAAATTACCCAGATGTTATCCTCTTTCGCTAAAATATAGATTTCATATGAATGGGAATCTGGTAAAATATAATGATTTGTTTGTAATATATGTTTAGCGAAATTGAATCTTTCATGGCCTTAATACATGACTAAACAAAGAAACGTACACAATAAACAAACTCTTTCTATTTAGTTACAAAGAGTGTATTACAAAGAGCGTGGGGTACTAACAAATTTAACAAAAAATAGCTACAACTGACATTTCAATACGAAGCTCAAATACGGTACGCTTATATATAAATAACCGTAAATTAAACGCAACAATGAAACATTTAAAAAACTCATATTGTGTTTTTATTATGTTCATTGATTAACTCGTTTTGTTGCTGACTAGTGACAAGTTGATTTTCGGATGGCTTTTCATTACCTCGATGCTCTGGATCAGATTTTTTAATACCTGCAAAACATTGTATATTTTAAAAGGAAGATCACCTCGATGATTCTTTTTTGTTAGAAAGAGGGTACCTCACAAGTGTTCCCATTTAAATTTGAAGAAAATAGTCACCTCTAAAGCTAGCAAACCAGGGGATAAATGACTTTTGAGGTAGGTTTTTTTAGTACTCTCTACTGAGATTATTAAAAATCAAATATACGTAAATAGCAAAAACATAACGTGACGTCACATATAGGTAAGCATATAAACGTCAGCGTATTCAACGTTCGCTTGTTAAGACGTGTTTGTTCTCCGTTTAATATCTTTTTAACTAAACACTATAAACATGTGGACTGGGGACAGAAGTCCGCAAAATTCTCGCCTATGGCAAGTGCATATTAATGTGTGATACGACTTAATAATTAATAAAACTTACCACTTCCTAAGAGCATCTTGACAATATTGGAAAACGGAGATTCCACCAGAATTGTAAAAACAAAGCTGGCTATGAAATATATCACAAAGCTGCCGCAAAACTTGTAAATCTAAAACAAAAAAGTCTTAAGAATGACAAAAGTTGTAATTTACTACTTTATATTTCTTGTGACTTTCTTTTTCTACTGTTGTCATAAATATTGTTTTTTTATAATATCAAGTGACGGGACTAACCAGTCGTGCGCCTGATGATAAGCTACACGCCTGTCCATAACAGTTACAGTGCCACTCACAGCTTTAAATCGCAAAGATCTGAGGGGCACTGCCACTGCGCCAGTGCCAGTAATACTAATATTACTGCTTCGCGGCAGAAATAGGTAAGGTGGCAGTATCTTTCAGAAGGATCCCCACTGTTGCTAAACTTTATCGTATATTTCAATTAGTATGTATTGTACGTATTACACATTTATTTAACAGCTAGCTGGTGCCCACGTTAAAAATATCAACATCAGAGTCAGTTTTAAACTGAGGCCTATACCGGAAAAGTTGCTAGAGTGCCGACTTAGGTGGTACGAACATATTAATTATGCGACGACCTGTTCACATGACAAGGAAAGTCCTTGACATGAGTAACCAACCCAAGTTGTAGACCCCGCCTCACATGGATATCTCTTGTTAATAAAGACCTGTGAGGGCAACAAATAAGATCATAGCCGAGTCAGGACAGACCGTCTTGGAGAAGATTGACCAGAAGGGCCGACCCCAAATAATTGCGAATAAGGCCAGGCAAAAGAAGAAGTAGCTGGTGCCCGCGACTTCGTCTACGTAGAATAAGTACCTCGAGTAGCTTACATACTAACTTTCATACCCTCTAAGGTTTAATTTTGTTTCAAAAAGTAGCCTGTGTCCCATCTATCTCTGTACCAACAGTTTAGGCGTGAAAATGTAATAGATAGATAAAGTTACTTTTGCATTTACAATGTTAGCTTTTTTATTATAATACTATTCGACTCATCCGTAGAACAAAGATCTATGTCCAAGACTACTTCTTCTCAGGACATAGTACATTTCGGTCGTTCTTCTTCGCTGTGGATGTCACATCGATCGTTGGTCGATTTTATATTTTCGAAACGAAATAAGATAAATATAAATTCTCAAAACACCTTTACGTAGGCCTTAGTTTGAATTACTAAATTATTCTCGTAACGTACTTATTCTTTTCTCGCTATATAATCACATCGGACTCTGCTCTTCGGGTGAGTCGTATTATTAACCTGTTTCCCCAAAGCACTTCAGCAGTCTCTGTCTGCTATTAAATTTTTTCCCGTACTCATACCGTTCATTTAGCTTGGGTCGAACGGCAGGAATGCTGGCTTTATTTGAGATTTATTTTTTTATAATGGAAATTAAAACCATTTGAAAAATGCTTATCGTGTACGATACGTGTTCTCTTTAGTTCGGTTGGTTTAAATAAAATTTTTATCGACTACTACTTGTGAACAACATTAGTTATCGAAATCTATGCACATATGTCTCACTTTTCAAATATATAACCTGTATATATATTTTCAAAGTAATTGATTCAACACTTTCACTGTTATGGGGAATCAACCAAAGCGATTTGAGCTTGTATAGACTCTTAAAGAATATCCGTGTTGTATTATAAGTTACACGAAAAAAATTAAAAGTAAATCAAATTGTTAATGTATAAAATTCTGTAAGTGAAATGCATCGAGTATATAACTAGAAATAGAGACGAAATGTCATTTAATTTGTTTGAAAACTTCTCTGATATGTGGTCTGTGACTCTGCTATATCATTACTGTGACAACTGCGCCCCGATTTGCCAGCCCGAATTCGAAACAATTAACGGGTGTCGTCCATTGTTTCACTTCAAATCGACCAGTTAACCTGAGCTTTTGTTATAATGGACGAAAATTGCAATATTACATATTTCATTATCGATGAAATTTGATTCCGTTTATTTTGTAATTAGATGTTTTGCTGTTTTTCCTCACAACACCGAATGACAACAGCACGACATTGTTAGAGATATTATATTTATCACAATATATACAGAATATTTTTGGAATATACGGAGATGTACACACAGGTCAGTTGTTGGCGCTTCTATATTTCAGTGCAAACTAGTGTTGATGTTTATAAGTGATGTATCACTGATGAGTTACCAGGAACTTATGAGCCTTATGTCGTCTTTATTTCTGGTTATATACTCGATGTAAAGAACCCGAAGGACCAAATACTTAGTAATATTTACAACAGGGCGTTTTAAAGAGAATATGGCTCTTAATTAGGCATTTAATATCACTTTTACCATTACGTGATTTTTAGCATTCTAAAGCAATGTTTGTAGAAACATATACATTGTAAAGTAAGTGCTTAAGGTTCCTACTTGACCTACAGAATTCATGATTTTTAAATTTCGATGAGTTTTGTGGCCCAGCGATTTACACGGAGAGGTCCAAAGTTCGATTTCCGGTTGTAACAATTTGGAAATGAGCTTTTGTATATTGATCTTGGTGTTCTGGATAGTGCCCTGAAGTCAATTTCATTACTCTATTACTCAAACGAGAAATTATCTATTTTACTACTGTCGCCTCTTCCACAGACCAATGTGAAAGGCGGTATTCTCCGACTATGGCACAGCCGAGGTCAGGGACTCAGGTTTCAGTACCCGCAAATAATGCGTGTCATTTCTAACTATTATTATTATGCAGGGTGTTCCACGGCTATGCCACAAGAAGAGAAAGTACCTTAAATACCGTAGATATAAAATTTTACTGCATTTTGCTACTACATTTTGATTTTAAAAACAATTCGAAGTGCATTTAAAGATTTTTAAATAATCGCCTGTCGGAACCAAGAACCGAACCCGCTATATGTAAAAAAATACCTGTAGTTTTATTAAACTGATCAAAAGCGTCAATCATACGGATTGTTTTTTTCTAAATAACATAAAAAAGGAAGACTATGAAATTTAACATTTAATTAAAATAATTAGATATATTTGACTGCAAGTTATAAAAAAATTCTATGGTGTTTATGGTACTTTCTCTCCATGTGGTTAGCCGTGAGAGACGCCCTTTGACGTTTGATTTACTGTTAAATACCTACTAGTGGTTTACCAGAATAAAACAGTATTAAAACGTCGTGGGTTTTTACGCAGCTTTATTACATAAAAACCATCTTAATAAGTTTTGCAATAATTATTTTTTCGTTTTTCCATTAAAGCATAACTAATGGAGAGATAACCGACAATAAAAGCAATTAAAATAAGGTAGACTAGTAGATACTCACAAAATTCAACACGGAAAAGTAAGTCTGTTGCGTGGCTGCTCCGACTATGACGAATTGTATGGGCACGTGCAACAAATATATCGCGAAAGAAAGCCGAGACGGCAATTTCCACATTCGTAGTGACAGGAACCAGTTGATCGGGCCTGAAAATGTTTAATAGTATTGCACACTTCACTCTAAAGGATTGGTAGCTTGATTTCATGATTAGGTTCAACGCGCTGATGGTCTAAAAGTCCTGATTTTGTTTTTATAAAAAAACAAGTGCGCATTTGACAGCCATCTCACCTGATGGAAAGTCGTCGTCGACGATGAGGTCGACGATGTAGCATGCACACTTAAATAATGCCTATTCACTCTCGCCTTCGAAAGGTCCAAGTAATAGCGTTCGAGGAACAAGTTTCTAGCCGCTCACCACATAAATGTGGAAGCGAAACGCTTCTTCTCTTCTTGGGAATATCCTGTAGAATTTTAATGAATTAAGGTACTTTCACGAGAACCAGTATGTATATACGTACCGTTATCTAATTTGATTGTCGTAAAATATGTTTATGAATTAAACTATTTAAATATTCTGCACCAAAAATAAATTAATAAATAAGTTCTGCATCGGGGGCTTTATATTGTGGATATTCCAAGGACTTACACGGTAGGTTTCGATTCCACATTTATATGGCGAACGGCTATGGAGTGGAATTCGCTGTTTACAGACTTGTTTCCTGAATGTATAACTTGGGCTTTTCCAAGGTGAGAGTGAATAGGCATATCAGGTGTGCATGCTACATCGTCGATCTCATTGTCACTTTCCATTTGTTTAATAAATTTAACAAAATAAAAAATGAGAAATGTAATTAGTAATTTGGAATTTGAAAATGTTATTTGAACACTGTTTTAATCACTATCCAAATTTAAATAATCTCTCATATTTTTCTTCATATATTTGGTGAAAAAAATATATGTATCTTCATTTATAAATTATTGAGATAAACTATAAAAAATATGTAAAGAAAAATCCATGGTTGTTGTGCGCCATACAGATACGCGCCTCGAAGCACCCCTTCAGCATTTCAGCGAATATAATATTCCCATATCAAGATTTCCATTTATTATAGTACAGTGCCAAAATTCTATTGAGAGCAATGATTTTAATGGCCACTTTGATTTGTCTAAATTATAAGGCGTTTTTTATTGTTTTCAATATACTCCAAGAACCGGTTTTTATAGTAAAAAAATTTGAATGATGATTAAAAAATCTTTTTGTATTCAAGACTTACTGCAACTGTAAAAAAATGTATAAAAATGCATATGACATGACAACACAAAAGTAAAAAATTAAGACTGAAACACGAAAACTTGTCTACAAGCCACGTAAATGCCTAATATGCATAATGATCCACATAAATTTATTATTCATTACACGAAAGCAGTAACACTTTATTGGCTATATATAGCACTTTATTTTGAAGTTATTTTTTTTTATTTAAATGTCGTTGGCGATTATGCGCTGATGCTAGCTTCGATTAAAGGTATCAGAAACCACAAATTCAAAAAATCTTGTACTATAAATAATAATAATAATAATAATAATAACGCACACACTCAACATAGCCCCGCACTAGGGAAACCCTGTGTCGCGGGTGCCATGGACACACATATAGACAACCACAAATTACACCCAAACTCACGAGAGAAATAATTGTAGGCCATACAAATATTTCTCCCGGCCCGGGAATCGAACCTGGGACCTCTGCGTGGCAGTCCGACATGGTAACCGTTCGGCCACGGAGGCAATTACTATTAACTAAAAAAATGCGTGTGTAAAAATTTGCATGACAAGTTCTGGTCAAATATATGGTGTGGTGTAGCGGGTTGGATTCAGATGGTCTATTATTTTATCTTAACTGGAAGAATTACTTTACACCTGTGTATTTGTTAATATATTTTTTATAATGTGTATTTTCTTACCTCCGTAACCTTCAGCGCAAGCGAGAACGAGCCAGCCAACTCCAAGAGCCCACGCTGGTCGCATAAAGGAGTTCGCTAAGTTGTCAAAAGTTTGGTTATCGTACTCTACATTTTTCATCGGCGTGGTTGCGTAGAAGGCCAAAAATAGTACGGTTAAGTTGACGATCCATAATACACTATTCATGATCTGTAAAAACAACAATTTCTATAATACCATCATCAGACTGAGACTATAACTTTTTCCCGTCGGGGTAGGCAGATACAACTGTCTTCCATTTGCTACGGTCCTGATACACATCTTTCGCCTCATTAACACGCATCAGTGCTTTTTTACACGTAGCGTAGTACTAACATATAGTTAACAAGTCTCATTTGTCTTTCAAAATCAAAATGCAGAAACGCGCTTATTTCTGCTTGGCGGCAAATATAGGGGGAACTCTTTTATAAAGAGCTCTGCACCTATACTACAGACCACCTTAGTTATAATATGATTTTAAAATGCACTATTTGACATTTAGTTATAATTACAGTAAACAATTGAATAATGTGTATATTTGCTTGTCAATTATGGTAGAATTAGCTAAATTTATTTAAAATAGGAACTTACTCTTACCATATTCCGGTAAATAAATAAATAATTTTATTGATTTAAGAAATTGGAAATTGAACTATTTTTTCCGGATTCGAAAAAATCGCGTATATTTGTTTTTGTGAAACAACCAAAGTTTTGGACTTTTTACAGCCATTACAGCCAAAGACGACAGAAAAGGGGATATATGCGAGTTAAGATTTTTTTAAATGGTTTCATTCCAATATGTAGCAATCCACTGCCACTAAATTTCGTAGCTCGACCTGCTAAAAGATAAAAAAAATAATACCTTTGTTAATCGAATATTCTTTTCTCGCCAAAAATGGATCAAATATCCAAAACACATCCCAACAAAGAAAGGTGAACATCTTGTCAATGTACTGTCGTAATATAATCTAGAATATCTATCGCCTTCTCCAGGCCGCAATCTGAAATAAACAAAATTATAATATAATCTAGTAAAGAGAAACGTGCCTTCTACATGGAAGGTCCTTGGTTAAAACCCGATCAAAACTGCCTGCGCCACTGTTTATTTTCAGATCATGTGCAGTTTGGTTATATATTTTGTTATAACAATGGTGATGAACACCATAGTGAATCCTACATGTCGAAAAAAATCACAAAACATTAAGCATTTGTACATAACATTCGTGATGGGTCTGTGATGAAGATGTATAACGAAAAGATAAAAAACATATTGAGACTGCTAACGATCTAATAATTTCAATTAATACAATACTTACATTGGTCGTATAGTAGAACCAACGAAATTGTTCATAAAGTTGTAAATTGACGATGCTGTGAGGGCAACTAATAATGCAACAATCAAACCTGACCACGCGACTTTTTTTTTGCCCGACAAAACCCAGACTAAAACTAACGGAGACAGGATATGTAGTTGCATATCAATTGCCAAGTACCAGGTATGAGATAAACACTGAAAGTAGACATCTGCATAATTTCAGAGCAAACATTTTAATCAATACTAGAGAGCAATCATAAATCTGTTGAATATTCATAACCAATAACTAACGTTGCCTGTACACAACCTAAGGTGTTACAAATATTATTTAAAAATTAAAATGAACTACAAAATCCAGAGCATTTAAACTTTGAATTGGCTTTATGCATTATCTGTTTCAAATATTACGGAAACAGAAATTAAGGTAACCTTCTAATACTATATAACAAAATAATTATTTACATACTGTAAAAAAACGATAATACGTACCATTGGTCGAAAAAAATTTTGCATATAAAGCATTGTTATCCACCAGTGCGTTCTACAATCTCTAGTTGCTGTAGCTACTATATTCCACGCTGCACCGTCATGAATATAATGTAGTACACCAACTTGCAACAACACAGCCGTGGCTAGTAGAGGAAACATTCGTAGAAGTCGATTGAGGTAAAATAAATGAAGGTTCTTTAATAGTTTCACTATAAAAGAAACAAAATGAAGATGGGTTAGAAAATATGATGCATTTTAGGAGATCCTAGATACTGGATACTTTCATGGCGAATTCGATAACCGAATCATGATCATGTTTTGAAACATTATTTCATTAAATGTAATTTCTGACAGTTTGTGGCGTTATATTGTAGTTTTTCAAATAGTAGAGTCTTGTAATACCTGTGCAAAATAGTATACAATTACGTTTTTAAATGTTTCACTGCGCATTCAGAAAGTAAACTTTGGTAATTCTCTAAATATTTTGAAAGCAAACACGACACTCTGCATTTTCTGAGGAAACTGATGGCACAACAAGGCTATATATTTTAAATACATTTCTGATATTTACATAGCATTGCCAAATGACTATGAAAAAATATTATTAAACATACATCAAAAACAGCAACACAAAATATCTCAAATTAGAATACAATACAAAATAAAATAAGACGTCACGTAGTTGAATAACAAGTATAGTATAGGTGAAGGTAGTTGGGTAAGAAAGTGAGGCATATTTTTGAGGAATAACACGTGACTATATTTGTAAACATCAAAGTTGTTTGAATAAGTACTTACTACTGGTAACTTTTCCAACAGTAGTGTAGACGATCATTAAACCGCTTAGCATGAAGAATGTGTCCACACCAGTTTGGGCTGTGGTCATCCAAATTGAACTAGCTGACGTAGCCCACTACAATTTAGTAACAAGAAATTAATATATGATGAGTGTTGTGGACAAGTTGTATATCTATGTACAGTTATACTAAATAATAAAATTTTTATTTAGTTAGACCACCTCATATTAAGTGAATACCGCTACCTACTACAATATGATAAGAAAAAATACTCTTAATATCGCAAATACATTGCCGGCCAAGTCTCAAGTTTTCTATTGTATAAAATTATTGACACTCAATGTCTAACAATCTGAAACACCGCAAGTACTGCTTTGTGATTGAAAAAAGTAGGGCGTTGGATATGACTTATATAGGGCTCTGCATAAACAGGAAACCCCGCCATCATTCAATTTATACATTTTGTTTTTGTTTCCTAAACATATATCTATATGTATCAATAGAAAAGAAAGAAGCCTACCATGATCATAACCATCACAGATAGCGAAGAATCGTATCTTTATAGTTACTATGAGTAGTGATATATCAGGTAGAATGTAGGCGTATTACTATACGAAAACAGAGCATTTTCATTCAGAAAACAAGCAGAAGTTGCAGATATGGAGTTTACATGTGAAGTACCTGATAATAGTCCGCAATATTTATAATTGGTGGAAAAGCACCAAAGAAGTGTCCAATTGCTACCCAAACCATAGATATTGCTCTAATGCCATCGACACATTCTATAGCACCGCGAACTGGGTTAAATATGACTAGACGACTGGCATTTGCGTATACTGAGAACGATAAACAAGTTCTATTGAGAGACTTGGGATCTGAAATAAAAAATAATAATTTCATATCATTGATACCTTACAAATTATACCAGCACTTCAGAGTGAAATGTGAGGCTCAGATTAAATTTTGTTCAAACTTCACAAACGCAATATGATTATTTATTTCTACAACAAAAACGTATCAGATTATGTATTTTGATAGTGGGTGCATAAAAACCAATCAACCTCAAAAACTAACCTTGTTCACTATCGGGCAAAGTAGAAGAAAAGTATATGGGCAGTTCTCAACACTATGGAGTGAACAAGTAAAATAGTAAGCAGGTCTTAGTGCCAAGAAGTGAGATAATAGAGAAAGAGTGGAAAACCGCTAGTAAAAAAACCAGCGAAAATAGACGAGTCATCCAGCACTTAGGTACACGAAGCAGACAAAAAATCGATAAGTAGTAATTAAAATTGATTATCAAATATTAGAATTGGAACAAATCTTACTTTAAAATCTGTAATCAATTTTATCGTTTAATAAAATAGAGATAATTAATTGCAAATATCAGAATATGTACCACCTACACCATGTTAAATTTATGTACATGTCAAAATGATCAAACCTTCCTCCAGTAGGCTTCGAGTCTAAAACAATCTCAACACGGACCGCACCGCCTAAGACACGAGCACTAGACATTTCATAATCATGATGTAAATGCTGGTATAGCTACATCATAGGAACTTACCTCGTTTCTGAATTAGCGTTTTCCAAATATCGTAACTCGTACCAAGAATAGCCACTAAACCAATCAAACTGAAGAAAACACTAAAAAACAAAGGCGGTTAATGCGTAACTGTTTATACACAAGATTATGTTATATACTTCGAGATTTGCAATCCGTTCCTGATAGTGAAAAAAGAAACTTGAAATTCGATAATATGGCTTAATGTGTTTTTTTATTTGTTAATAAACGAGTATCTAAGGAATTTATGGGACATTACAATCGAGTTTGAAGCATGGATATATACGATGAATTTATAATTGAAACAACACAATTACATAGCTACATAAACTCCTGGCGCCCATGGTTTGTCATTTCTGAATCGGCAAAATTGTTCCTCGAAATCGATCAACTCGGTTCCAAAAAGATTTGATACCGACGATCTTACGGAGCAAGGTTTGGGTATACAAATCGCTACATTAAAGCGTAAATCACCCATATTGTTTCCATCAGTCCTAAAAAGAAGAATAAATAAATCAAAGTATTATAAAAAACAAAACAAACAAAAATCTCGATCTTTTTGAAAGTTCTAGGACATCCTTCGTATCAACCCACAGCTGACCGGTTAATAATTAAAAAACAAAACTGTTAAAATTATTGCGAGGATATTATAAAATTATAATGTGCTATATTCTACTAAATTAATTTTGTGTATTATTCATTATGTTTTCTTTTACTAGCTGTACTATTTTTTATGTAATTTTTTAACTAATAGAGCATAAATAGCTAGGTTTTTATATTTTAAGAACAATTTATTGCTAAACATAAAATAAAAATATTACCTTATTTTTTTTTTTACTTTCTCTCCCATCCAGAATATCTACATTTTTTCGAAAACTTTCATACAAATTTATTTTATCTTTTATAGCATCAACAGCTGTTATTGCGTTATCCAATTCAGTTGTACGTCCAAAATTTTCAAAATCTGATAATCCAATACTTATTTGACAATACTTCCCTTCAATAACCATATCATCGATTTCTCTTTTGATACCAAGGCATTGGTGATAATTTCCTAGATCTTGAATATTTCCTTGTAGAATCCCTCTCGGTATTCTTGGGCCTGACTCGAGAACTGCAAATATAACTTTTTCGATATTACAATGGACTTATATTTGTTCACTATCTCAACTGACAGTAAAGTAAAAAAGTGGTGATGAATTGTACACGCTCGCCAAGAAATATAACAAAATGGATGTTTCACCACGAATTTGTTCTTTTACGATTAATAATAATAAAATAATAATATTTATAAAACTAATTACCAACCCCATTTTTCATGGATAAAATGTCAGTGTTCTTTATGACTTTTGTACTTAGTCCCGTTGCAGTTGAGAATACATGATCATTAACGTAATTTTTTGCCATTAAATTTCCTTCAGAGATAGCAAAATATGTTACTAGGTGGAGCAAATTTGAAAACTGCCGTGCTCTTGCAAAATTGTTTGAAGGTCGAACATAATAGAACAAAATAAAATACATTTAGAATACGGCATATAAAAAGCGTAGATAATTAAAAACTTCTGGACCTGATGTACAAAAAAATAGCTCTCAAAACCATCCACTTTTGTGATATACAATTTTTTAGTTAACAGTATAAAATTTAACTGAAGCCCGCTTCAAGGGGCACTGTATACTAATATTTACCTACCATTAACTAGGCTTATTCTTTGGCTGTAGCTGCCAATCTCCTGGTCATCTGAGGCTTGAATGAGACGAACTAAAACTTAGGAAGTTTTAAACGAACAAGTTTATATGAGGACCCCAGGTCAAGAGTTTTCTACGTTAAAAGACACAAAGTTGTAGTACTGGCTAGCGATGATTGTATTATTAAACTTATGTATTAAGTTATGTAAATAAATAAAATGTAAATAAAAATCTATCATAGTACTTACATGTCATCTTCAAAAGCGTGTCGTTCAAAGTCAAATGCTCTATTTGTTTTGCACATAGCTCTGAATCTAAAATTTCCTCGTATACATTTGGATCAAAGGGTGGATGTTTGGCTTCCCATCCAATATCAATTGCTCTATTAGTTTGGTCACTATTCACTATGTCAGTTAACACTAATGCACTTAACACCACAAAAGTTAATCCAATTGACATCATCTTTATAAAATGTTATAAATTATCCATTACTTACAAAAATAACGAAATTCGTACTAGTAACATCTACATCGACTTCTTTATTAATAACGTTTTTGATACTTTTAATCTAATCCATAATCAAAATACAAATTAATAAGTAGTGATATCTGTACGTTGAGAACTATAAAATACAAGGCAGTGATAAACGTTTCTTTCCATGCCTATAACATTATACTTGTTGCGTGCATCTTTAAATGTATCTCGATAAATGTTTCTGAATCACGAAACTCTAATCAAAAACTGTCATGGCGCATTGCATCGTGCGTCTCATGGCGCATAATATTCTCCCGTGGTGTATCAATCTTGTTTGAATTTTTGTTTCAGTTATAATAAGTTGCGAGCGCAACAGACTTTTCGTAATTTAATTTAATGACTGTAATTTTCGAACAGGTAATAAAACGCTCATCAAAGACACATTACATAGGCACGGGGGTACAATTTTGCACCAATCACCTAACACCATGTATTGTTATTTTTATCCCTACCATTATATTCAACGACTTTTTTGTACAAACTAACAAAGGCCAAAAAGACCGTGCACTTTTGATCCTTCCATAAGAAACCACCACTGTTTAACAATTTATGGCACTGCTTCTGTAAACTAGCTATCTGTTGCCAATGTATTACTGTCAACGATAAATCGTCTTTAATTTAATGAGTTCATCGAGAAACTTTACATCTTCTATTTGTTTCTGGTGGCTACGGTACATTACATTTTTAATTGTTAATACAGTTTTATTTATTAAGTATTTTTAGTTAATTGTTTGTAATTATAATATTAAACAATGATGTATAATGTGCCTAGATTCACCTTAAACTACATAATACATGCACATTATCCTTCAAATGTGTTTCCGTTTAAGTTTAACTTTGTTTTTCCTATCCTTTCTCGTTTATTGGAATCATTGGCCTCATCATATTCAAAATTAATTTCTCCATGATCACCTCTGCCATCATTGTTCATCTATGGAATGAAGTAATGCCTAATATAAGTATTTAGCTTTTACCTTCACATTGCCTTCATATCCTTCAAAGCAAATAAGAATCAACCAGCTAATTTACTAAGTTGATCATAGTTTGGTTACGTTAATTTTATCAACATCATTGCAAAGATTGATAACTTTTGAATGTCATCATACATCGGTAGAGTCTCATATTTTTATTGTATTGTAATTTTAATTATACTTTTTTTTAATTCTTCTCTCTCTCTCCCTCTCTATCTCTTCCTCTTTCAATCGAAGATTAAGATGATAATTTCAAAATCAATATTACTACGAATAAAAAAGTTTACAGTGCTCGAATATAACGATCAAACTATTATTATGTTAAAAATATGTTAGTTAAACTGCTTTATGGACCAGACGGTCATTTTCCCACCAAAAGTGTATATACACAACATTAAAAAACTTTCCAACAATGAAGAATGAGCATCATGTCAATTTTAGAACAATAATGATCGTTTTAAGATCAGGTTAAAATCGTTCGACTCAAGCAAATACGAATAACGTGGATGTTGTTGATGTGAATGTAAGTTTATAAAACAAGATTTGGCACTTATTGCCTTTGCGTCTTAATTCCTTGTAGTTTTGATACAGACTAGCTTTTTAAATTTCCAATTACTTTAAGTATTGGGACTGGGCTAGATACGTCTAACATATAGCACCCATAGAGATGAGATCAAACAGTCATTTGGTGGATACCGGAAAACGCAGATCAAGAAAGTGATTTTGGGACGATTGTGGATGCGAATTTAGGGGACTGACCTGTCAAAAAGCATCATACCCGGAGTTGTGGAACTCGAGAGGAGAAGTGTTTGCCCAACAGTGAGATACAATAATAGGCTATTAAAAAATGCATTTAGATATCATTATCGTTACCAATATTATCATCATAAGAAGGTATTAAAATAGATAATGTGTAATATGGGGCGTTAGAAAATAGTATCAAATTTTATCATTAACATTTGCATCTGAAAATTTTGTACCAGTGTTTCATAATAATTATGACTGTTGTGGTCATTCAATATCATTATAAAAACAAGAAAGAATATGTGAGAAAAATAAAAATACAACCTGTCTTATAGAAATTGTTTATTTTATAAGTTTTTGTTTGATATAGCATATTTGTACAGTATAACGGAGATTACGTGTAATTGATAATATTAATTGAAGAAAATAAATTTTTTCATTTGACGTTATTGTCAAAGTGTAATGAATAATGAGTTAGCCAGTACAAATTTCCTCGATGTCGCCGTGGTTAACCTACGTACGACAGTGGCAGCACGATGACTCTCATTCACGCAGACGTCGTAAACCACACTGAAGCAGAAAATGCGCGTTGCGTATATGGATTTGTTTTGCGTCTGCAATCTTTTTCAGAAGTAATTTAGCTATGTTTGACTACTTAGTAAACTTTGCCGACGTCCTTTGGTCGTATGAGACCATTCTCATCATGACTAAGGTTTCTCTACAAACAGACAAATTCAAGCAGAAAAGTACTACACTAAACTAAAGTAGTACCTAATACTACACACTTGGCTCTCTTTGACTCTTCTCGTTACACGAATACGCTTTCAGTGAAAGGCGACAGAGGAGTCCCTTAACCATATAAACGAATTGAAATTTAACTCCATAAAAGCTATCATGTAGGAGCATTACATGTTGCATGCCGTAGGAGTAACTAAAATAACGCTCAAACACAGAGAAAAAGATCGATTCCATTTAGACACAATCGATGCCACGAGCTTTCGCCTTCCTTCAAGCAGCTTCGAAGTTGGCCTACCGTGGCGCTATACGTACTTTGTTACTGTTCGCGATAGTCTTTATCCCGTTTTAAATATACGGAAGAAACAAATGACGAAAGACGCGCTTTTATTATATATACTTTAAAAAAATAAAATAAAAGAAGAACTTTTGCAACACAATATATAAAATACAATAAAAAGAAAGTTAAAGCTAATAGCGAGATACCTCCCAATATTCGTGGTAGTTACCTCATTATTTATGTATCGCAGAAGAAAAGGGTAAGAGTAGTACAAGATTTCATACACGACAACTCGACGAGTAGTACGTGCAGTGATTATGATAGTGCATGTAAGCAGCTCCTTTTTGACCCTATACATAAAATAAAAAAGCTTAAGAGTAGAGAGATTCCTTTTTCAAGGCTGCACTCAAGATAACGCATACTCAATATATTGATTACTATATGACGAGTTTTATTGATATTAACGTAGCTTCAAAGGTATAATTTGA